TTAAGCTGACAACAAACACAGGAATTGACTTCAGTGGGAATGAACTTGCTTGACTGCTGACAAAAATCCAAAGTGATGGCACTTTCACTGGCTCATCGCTTGCTCAGGTGACTGTTAACCTACACTGCTTTCTCCCTTCTCAGGACAGGGAAGGGATTAAAGCCCAGGCTGAGGTGCCTATCTCTGAGCCTATAGGTGTCCTGCAAAGCGCAGAGGAGTCTTGGCTTTTGTGGTGAGCATACTTTTGGCCACTGACAGGGTCCTGGGAGATAGAGTGAGGACTGGGCTTGGAGGCCTCCATCTCTGCCTTCTGCTAGAGCCCTCAGCAGAGATCATCTGCGGGGGTGGAGGCAGACACATTTTTCCAAGCCTGCACCCCTGGGGCAAGAGGGGAGCCATATTCCTCATCCTTTCTCAGCAAAGCACCAGAAGGGTGGATTGCAGAGCACGACCCTAGGAGACCCTATTCTGAGACAGGAAGGGAAGGGTCTGGAGCCCCCACCCCCAGGGCAGGGTTGCGCTGCAGTGTCCAGCCATCAGCACCTGCCTGTGAAGGAACTGACAATAAGCAGGCTTCAGCAGAGGGCACTCAAGTCCTAGGAATCTGCACTCAGGAGCTGCGCGCTCTGCTCAGTGGCTTCCCCGGGAACCAGAGTCATGAATCTCAGTAACTCGAGCCCAGGGCCTCATCACTCACAGTGATTGTGGAGGGACTGAGAGCTGAGTGGATCAGTCTAAACAAAACATGTACACAGGGGACTCATCCAAAGGAGCTAGCTGGGCCACCCCTGGGGGCTCCCCTCCTTAGCCACGGAAGTAGGGAGTAGAGGGAGGGGCTGGAGGGGCTAGGAGCCCTGAAAGTATCACCCCTTTCTTCCAAGCCTTATCCACACCCCCACCTGTGAGCCAGTGGGAGGCATGAATCTAGCTGGCAGCGGCTTGGGCCAGCTCAGCCGTTTTAGGGGATGTTAATGAAATTCGGGAGCACTTGTCCTTTCAGACAGCGGCCCCTTTTATTTGGGAATGAAAAGCTGCATTAGTCTGAATGAGGTTTGGAGGCCTCATAAATCCAGTGCTGGCTGCCTCATGGGGGAGCGGGGAGCTGAAGTCTGGCTGGTGGGTAGGCTTGTTTACCAACAATTCCAAAAGCCAGGATTGGCGGCTCCCAGTCTCCAGAGATGGAGCTTGAGATCTTGCCAATCCTGCTATTTGCTGGCTTTGGGGTGGCCTGAGAGAGGTCTGCAGAACTCTCAAGATTTGGGAAGTGGGGTGGGGGCTGAGCTCTCTAGTTTACTCCAGTTAAGGACTCCATTCCATTCTGTTTTTGGCCTGCCCTCAGGCAGCCAGAGGCTCCAGGAGCTTCTGCAGGGGTCAAAGGGCTCTAGGTGGAGCCATTCCTGTTCTGCCCAGGGGGTGTAGGATACCACAGGGGAAATGCTGCCAACTTAGCAGCCTGCTGGGTCTGTGTTCGAATTCAGTCTGGCAAACAGTAATACCTAATAAATATTAGTGAAAGGAAGGAAGCCAGAAAAGAAAGAAGGGAGGGACGGAGGAAGGAATAAGGACTCTCTCTCTCTCTCTCTCTCTCTCTCTCTCTCTCTCTCTCTGTGTGTGTGTGTGTGTGTGTGTGTGTGTGTGTGTGTGTGTGTGTGTTTGGGCTTCTTAACCTCTGAGCTTAGATTCTTCATCTGATAAATGGAAAAATAACAGACTATCATGGTGTGTCGTGGAGAGGACTGGATAAAGTGACAGGCAAGGTTGTGAGTACTTTGCCTGGAATGCAGAAAGCATGTGATAAACACAAGAGTCATGGCTGTTTTTGTTGCCCAGCGCATCTCACATTCCCCCATGGCTGGAAGGGATTGAAGTGACTATCAGTTTAGGGATGTTGTGTTATAGGATGACTTTCAGTTGGGTCAAGAACAAGGGTCAGGCCCTGTGCTGGGGATAGCAACTTCTACCTAAATCTACCCCAGGACTCTGAGAGGGGCTGCCAAGTCCTGCCTGAGCCTCACAACCTCTGCAGTCAGGAGGCTGGTCCCACTGCAACCTAAAGGAAGCCTCTATCCTTAGCTAGGAAAACCCACCTGCTTGGGGAGGCAGCTGGCTGGGCTACCTGCTTCCTGCCACTGGTGCGGAATTAGTCAGCCTTGGTACTGGTTTCTGCACTCTTCAGCTCTGCCTTTCTTCATCAGGGCACAGAATCATCTTCCTGAGAAAACAGTCAAGTCCTTTTGGTTCCAGGAACCAACCAAACCTAGTTGTGGCAATGGGCTACTCTGGTGTTTTTCTGATGCAAAGGTTCCCAGCTGTGTCCAGGGGGTCCTCTACTCTTTTTCTCGCCTCCACGCTGGTCCCTGGGACCTATCCCCTAAGATCTCTACTCCCTATGAAGAGGCAACCACTGCAGATTTATGTTTTACACTACTTCTTTGAGAAAAACTCAAAGGGTGCTGGGGAGACGAGCCATTCTCGATCCAGGGAAGGCCCAAGTATGGCAAATTCGGAGATCTCAGCTGATCACCTACCTACGATGTCCTGGAAAAAGACATACACCTCTTTCTTTTCTTGGGCAGAACCCAGAAACTCTTTGCTCCCGAGGCCACTGGTGCAAGTTCAGACGAGAAGAAACCCCTTCCTATTTGCCAATTGACTATACTGCCCAGTTCACATGCCCACACAATGCCTAGTTCCTTGTACCCAGAGAGGAAGGGAAAGAAAAGATGGCAAAATTAACAGGCGTGTTTGGAAGACAACACATTATCTATTTGTAAGAAAATTAAAGATTTGCTCTTCAGATGTAGGGGGCCATGCTCTTACCAGACAGCTGGCAAATGGGAGAGATTGGAAGTGATTGAAGAGATAAAATTATTTAAATGAGAAAAATAAATTCGCACACAGCCTAGCCGATGCCCGGTGACAGATCCGTTTATTTATCTACTGTATCGGTACCGCTTTGTCTCTGTCAAAGAGGTCATTAAACTCGCCTAGCTGCGTAATTCGCTGCCTCCTGCTCCTGCCTCGCTCCACAGCCCTTCTCTTCCTTCAACACCCCAGCGCCACTTGAAAAAAAAATATTATTGGTAATAAACAACATGTATTTTTAACCCCCTCTGCCTGCTTCTTTGCGGGCCCTACTCTGTCCCATGGAAAATCAGTTTTTTCTGTATTGTTTCTCAGGAGGAATCCGGGAGGGGGCTCCAGTTCCTCCCGCATAGTTGCGGAAGATGACTGAGAAATCAGCCGGCTCCAACTCCAGCGGCCCTCGAAAACGAAGGCTTTGGCGGTCTTTCTCCGCAGCCCTCTTACTGATGGTGCGTGGTGGTCAAGTCCTACCTTCCACGCAGAGGGTCTGGCCTGGTCTCTCCCTTCGGGTTAGTTCCTGAAGCTCTACACCTCCTAACCCAGCACTGACAGTTCTCTGAATTTTATACCCCCACCCTGCAACCTTCAAACCCAGAGCCAACTCCGCTTTCCCGTGGGCTGGAGATCAGGAGGGAAACCAGCTCAGGGACCCTCTCCTGCCGCTGCCGTCCAGCCAGCTCCAGCCGCGTGGGAGCTGAAAGACGAAGCTCC